ACCATCACCTTGACTCAGTCACACATGGTGCAGCAGGTCCTTCAGCGCTTCCGCTTCACGTACTCCTCGCCTCAGCCCACTCCTCTGCCTACCGGTCACTCGCTCTCAGCTCTGCCTTCGGATGAGTCCGTAGAGCCGAGTGGCCCGTATCCAGAGCTTGTGGGCTGCCTCATGTACCTGATGACCTGCACTCGACCTGACCTTGCATACCCTCTTAGCATCCTTGCACGCTATGTCGCTCCTGGTCGTCACCGGAAGGAGCACATGGATGCCGCTAAGAGGGTGTTGCGTTACTTGTGCAGTACGTCGGGCATGGGGCTAGTGCTTGGAGGACGAGACCGAGTTGTACTCACTGGGCACTCAGACGCTTCTTGGGCTGACGACCAGGCTACTCAGCGGTCGTCTCAGGGTTACACCTTCAGCCTTGGCTCTGGTTCTGTTTCTTGGCGTTCTACACGCTCGTCTTCCGTTCTCAGCTCCAGTTGTGAGGCTGAGGTCTACGCCACAGCCATGGCTGCACAGGAGTTACGCTGGCTCACCTACCTGCTGACTGACTTGGGAGAGCGGCCTCGTTCTCCTCCAGTGCTGTACGTCGACAACAAGGCTACCATTGCCTTGTGTGAGGAGCACAGACTGGAGCACAGAACGAAGCATATCGCTCTACGGTACTTCCTTGCTCGAGAGCTGCAGCATCGTGGTCAGCTTCGTCTGCGTTATGTGGCCACTCGGGCCAACACTGCTGATGTGTTCACCAAGGCGCTTCAGCCTTGTGACCATCAGCGCTTCTGTACTGTTCTAGGCCTTGTGCCTACTGTGCCTCACTTGCTTACTTCTTGACTCTGTTTGTACTGTGATCTCTATATATATACCTGCATACTTACACTTGCTAGGTTGTGCTCACTGTACCCCTTGCTATACTATTAAACTGCATGTGAACTGGTCTTGTGACCACTTGCTTGTGCTCGGAATTTGTGTGGTTTCCTCGAGATCCACCCTGAGCTTGCTTTGCCCTTCCTGACTGGTCTTGTGACCACTACTTGCTCTGGCTATCCCCCATTTCGCCTATGGGGGTGTGTCAAAACATATGCATAATTGTATATAGGCTACATTGGGGCTAGCCTTAGGGGGTACAGAAATAGTCTCGACACTCTAGTCTTGTACCCCAATCTTCACCTAATCATCAACTTTCTCGTTCCCTAGCTAGTGATTCTAACAGCTCGCACTGGTCGTCGTGTTCCTCATCCGCGTCTTCCTCATGTCCCCGGCACTCATGTTATGGCACTTTGTCCTTCCTCTGTTCCACTGCGAGTTCCCCTTCCGCCTCCTCCTGCGTCCTCTCTTCCTGCCGTTCCTGACCCTGAGTCTGACCTAGCTCGTGCTGCCACTCCCACTGTCCCTCGTCTTCTAGCCACTGTTGTCACTGACCCTTCTTTTGAGTCCACTTCTGCGTCTGCCCTAGTTGCTGAGCTTGTTGACTTTGCTGCTGCCTGTCGTCTTGACTACGCTACTACTCTTGTTGCTGAGTCTGAGTCTGCCTCTCCTCCGTCCGTTGGGGGTGAGTGTGCTCTTGGCACGGACGTCCTTGAGGACAGGCAGGAGGACTTTGAGTGTCTTTCAGTTGCTGTACCTCATCGCGTGGCCATGCTGGTTGCACCTAAGGGAGACCCGGATGCACCAGACATCCCGACCCCGCGCTCTTATGCTGAGGCGATTACGGGTCCCTACTCCTCTCAGTGGCAGACATCCATGGACGTAGAGATGGCATCCTGGAAGTCCACAGGCACCTATGTTGACGCGGTTCCCCCTTCTGAGGCGAACATAGTCGATGGCATGTGGATTTTCAGGGTGAAACGGCCGCCGGGTTCTCCCCCTTTCTTCAAGGCTCGTTACGTTGCACGAGGCTTCAGCTAGCGACAGGGAGTTGACTTCTTCCACACCTTCTCCCCTACCCCGAAGATGACGACTCTTCGGCTTCTGCTGCACGTCGCCGCTCAGCGTGACTACGAGCTGCACTCTCTTGAATTCAGCACAGCTTTCCTGCAGGGCAGCCTGCACGAGGAGATCTGGCTGCGCCGCCCTCCTGGCTTCACTGGGTCGTTTCCTGCAGGTACCCAGTGGAGCCTCCGGCGGCCAGTCTACAGTCTCCGTCAGGCGCCTCGCAAGTGGCACGACACACTGAGGACGACGCTTACGGCTCTTGGGTTCGCTCCTTCGACTGCTGACCCGTCGCTGTTCCTACGCACCGACACTTTGCTGCCGCCGTTCTACGTCCTCGTCTACGTCGACGACCTGGTCTTTGCCACTGCTGACACTACGGCACTGGCCCTTGTGAAGTCGGAGCTGCAAAAGAGACACACCTGCACTGACCTGGGTGAGCTGCACAGCTATCTTGGCTTGCAGATCACCTGGGACAGAGCACGGCGCACCATCACCCTGACTCAGTCACACATGGTGCACCAGGTCCTTCACCGCTTCGGCTTCCGGTTCTCCTCGCCACAGTCCACTCCCCTACCTACCGGTCACTCGCTCTCAGCTCCACCTTCGGACGAGTCCGTAGAGCCGAGTGGCCCGTATCCAGATCTTATGGGCTGCCTCATGTACCTGATGACCTGCACTAGACCTGACCTTGCCTACCCTCTTAGCATCCTGGCACGCTACGTTGCACCCGGGAGACACGGACCAGAGCACTGGGAGGCCGCTAAGAGGGTGTTGCGCTACTTGTGCAGTACATCGGGCATGTGGCTCGTGCTTGGAGGACGGGGTACAGTCGTCCTCACTGGACACGCAGACGCTTCTTGGGTTGACGACTTGGCTACGCAGCAGTTGTCACAGGGTTACACCTTCAGCCTTGGCTCCGGCTCTGTTTCCTGGCGATCTACCCGCTCGTCTTCTGTTCTCAGTTCTAGTTGTGAGGCTGATATCTACGCAGGGGCCATGGCTGTAGAGGAATTACGCTGGCTCACCTACCTGCTGACCGACTTGGGAGAGGCGCCTCATTCTTCTCCAGCTCTGTACGAAGACAACAAGGCCATGATTGCCTTGTGTCAGGAGCACAGACCGGAGCACAGAACGAAACACATCGCTCTGCGTTACTTCCTTGCTCGAGAGTTGCAGCAGCGTGGTCAGCTTCGTCTTGCTTACGTGTCCACTAGGGCCAACACTGCTGATATATTCACCAAGGCACTTCAGCCTGGTGATCAGCAGCGTTTCTGTATTTTTTTAGGCCTTGTGCCTACTTTGCCTCACTTGTTCACTGCGTGACTGTGCTGTACTGTGATCTATGTATATACCAGCATGCTTGCACTTGCTAGGGTATGATCACTGTACTATTTGTTCTCTTTTATATAACTCTGCATGTGAACTGGCCTTGTGGCCATTTGCTTGTGCTCGGAACGTGTGGTGACTTCGTGATCCACCCTGAGCTTGCTTTGCTTTTTTCTTGACTGGTCTTGTGACCACTCGTTCTCCCCCACCTTGTTTATGGGGGTGTGTCAAAATGTTATAGTGCTTACATTGTGTAGGTTGTAGTGGGGTAGCCCATAAGGGGTACAACCCAATTAGGGTTAGTACTTGTACCCAAGTTTCTGTTCAATCCATTCATTCTCGTTCGTTACTTTGACACGCTGGTGATCCGTGATTGATCCTAGGGAAGGGTTATATGCTCGTTGTCATGGGGGGTTATGGGCGCACTGACCCGCTACTTAACAAGCCATTTTATCCCAATGGTCTAGTGACTGGGATTCTGACATGGTATGAATGAAGGTCTCGGGTTCGAATCCCAGTATATGCTGGTACTCCAGTGCGAGGGGGGTATCAGAGGTCCACTGGTGATCCTCGATTGATCTTAGAGAAGGTTTACAGGCTCGATGTCCTGGAGGGTTATGGGCACACTGACCCGTTACTTAACAAGCCCTTTTATCCCAGTGGTCTAGTGACTGGGATTTTGAGAAGGGCTACAACCCAATTATGGTTAGTACTGGTACCCAACTCATTCATTGTTGATTCATTATCGTTTAATATTCTGACACAAATAGGTGTCTTATAATGAGGCTAGCCTGTTTATAAGAGACACCCGGATAATAGACAACCACTGTCTACTATTCAACACTGTCTACTATCCAGGCGATGACGGTACTGGTACATGGCAGCGCTTTTAGAAGCAGCACCAGTGCACAGATTTAGCTCTGAATATGCAATTGCAGGGCACAACCTAATCAAGATGAAGACTCCCAACCCAATTCATCAAACGGTACAATTGGCCAACTCCACCACCGCGTAAACGCCCCATCCGAACCTTTTAGATACTGCAGCACAATAATTTTGTATAATTAGTGCGTCTTTATGATCTTATGTATTGGTCAATACATCAGCATATTATTAGGATGATATACTATTTCTAGTACATTGATTGTCACCTGACATGACACTGCTAAAAGGCTTCCTAACTGATCTTATCATCCATTGCAAAGCTTACACATAAGCATTCAAGCTGCCCTCCTTTGTGTTGCCTACGATGGCGGGCTCTGAGGAGTGATAACAATCTGCAAAAAAAAAAGGAGCAGCATGGTGAAAACGTGATCAACAAGGATGGTGGGGCACAAAAAAGTGCGCATAGAGACAAGCATCAGAGGGTACAAATGAGGTGTGCACTTACCCGCTGGTTGTCTTTCATGCAATGGCTGAAGATGCCTGAGATGAAGTAAGTGGGGCCTGTAATGGGGTTACTATAACATCCAGCCCCTGCGCCGTCTGTAGAGTTGCAGTAAGAAATATAGTTCGAGTAGTCACAGTTTTTGTAATCCGTCAGTGACGGCACGATGAAGACCTCGTCCTTGTATGGAGGATATTTGAAAACTGCAGAAGGGGAGTTGGGATTCACAGTGCCAACAGAAAAAGAGTTAATTCAGCGCGTATACTCTAGAATGGTTATGTTTGAGTCGACTCAGAACTCACCCAAGTAGTAGATCCATAGCTCGAGCAAAGAGGAAGGAAGCAGAAACTTAAAAGAACAGGCAGAAACATGTGCGCTCACCAACTGTATCGCCGTTGTAGACCTTGTTGTACTGCAGCCACTTGTCGAACTGCCCGTTCGGGTTCCAGTTCCAGTTGAACTGCGACGACGGGTAACCAACCGCAAGAGTTCGCGGCGTGTACGGCTTCGCGTTCGCCTTCACGGCGAGCTTCTGCCCGGCCATGCAGTTCCCGTAAAGTCCAGATGCGTAGTACGCCATTGTTCGGGTAACCTTAATTGAGCAACCCGACTTGGAGCCCCAGCTGTCGTAGCAAACCACCTTCGCGGCGCGGAAGTTGCACGAGCGGTAGTCGCCGTAGCGCGCGAACTGGACCACCTCCTGATGGTAGTTTGGATACTTGAAAACTGCGAGTTCCATGGGATGACGAGGTGGGAGGAAATTGGGGGAAACATAATTGGACGATACAGTGAGAGAGTGGAGCAGTTTTATCCGGGACAGAACGGAATTCGTCAAGACTTCTCACAACAACCCCCTCTTCCCCTCTCCCGCCTTGCCCTTCCTCCCTCTCCCGCCCGCCCAACTGCCGCCCTCTGCACTCACGGATAACGTCGCCGTCGTAGAGCTTGCTCTTGGCGACCCAGCTATTGTAGTTAACCTGCGGGTTGAACGGGTAGTTATAGCTCGGCGTCGGGTTCCCCACCACGATCGAGCGCCCCGATGCCTGAGTCGTCGCCAGGGGCGGCACCACCGCGTTACCCGCGCCGCTGTCCGAGAGAAGGACGGCGTCAGGAGAGCCTGGAGAAGAGGAGGATGACTTTCCGGTGGATTTGTCGCCGTCTTTTGTAGGCAGCGGGACAGAACTGTCTTCCGTTGACACATTTCCAATCGGCCCGTGCGACAGAGTCCCAGCCAGTCTCGCTACATTCGCACCCGGCCCCGTCTGGTTGTGCGCGGTGGATTGGGACGCGTTGTCGTCTGCGGCGTTCTCGTCGCCGGCGCCTTCGCCTGCCGTCGTCCCGTTGTCGATGGCGTCGCCTGCGACCGGCGGATCGACAACAGCAGTCGCGTTGCCAGATTCGCCATTGCCCGCTTCGCCATTGTCGATGGTTGGCTCGACAACGAGCTGTTACAGTAGCGGGAGTCACCCACGTCAAGAAAAGATGGGGGGAATCGGAGAAAGAGAAAAGCCATTATGAACTCTGAGGGACATGGTGTGAGACGGATTCAGCGAGAAACGCGAGAACGAACCGACACGCCACTCCTGGCTATTAAAGCTTAACCTTTATTACACTTCTTCAACCGCACATTCCAAGTCTTCTTTCTGTCCCTTGTACAATCTCACTCAACCACTTTCTCACTGCGCTCTCAGTCTCCTTCCTTCCACTCTGGGTCGGTGTCACCGTCACCGTGACCGTCACTGTTTCCGTCAGTCGCGCTCACCTGTTGTCCCATATCGCAATGCGTCTTAATCGACGTGATGTACATCGGCCCCGATTCCACCGTCACGGTGCAAGCGCTAGCAGCGCCGTCTTTCCCGGGCCGGCTTCCGCGGAGGGAGTCGCAGAGCACCTTCGCGTTCTTGAGATGACACGAGGCGAGATCCTTGGCACTGGCCATTTGATACACGACCTCGGCGCGCTTCGGATATTCGAACACTGTTGAATAAAAATGGTGACGGGTCCGAGGTCGGAACAGAAGGGGAAGAAAGCAAGGGTTTGTGAATGGTTGTGGGAATAAATACCGTGAAATCTTATATCCAACACTCCGTTTTGCGTGTAAGAATCAAAGCCGAAAGCTTAAGGAGAAGCGAGGAAATCGCTGACTATTCAGTGGAACGGAGTGATAGAGTCCGAAACGATCTTATCCGTACCGAGGACGTCGCCGGGTTGAAGCGGCGTTTCCGCAGCCCAGTTGGTGTAATTAACAGCAGGGTTCCATCCATAGCTGTATCCACCCACGCCCGCCTCTCCCACAGTCACGATCCGTGCCGCACACACTGCCACTAGTGCTGCTAGAAGCGCGCAGCGGAGAAGGCACGGTTGGCTTAGGACAGTCATGGTTGCCGGTTTACGGCACGTACTTTCGGGCGCCAGTGGGAAACAGATCTATAACCCAGCGAGATCACGAAAGGAAAGTGATGTGGTGAAGGCAGTAGATGAATCGGATAGAGGCTAGACGACAGCGTGGTACTGGTGATATTGTGGAAGTTTAAGCTCTATCCAACGACTCTAGTGACTTGTGCGTCTAAGTCGGAGCGGTTAATCAGGTTAAGGAGAGCAGCGAGAGTCCATGGAAGAAAATGCTATGGCTAAGGATATGTTGACTAGTGTGCCTGACTGAAGCTTCCCAAGCTTCTGAGCATGATGTGTTTCGAGCTCCCGGAAATCGTGAATGATTGATTGATTTTCCTTGACGGTGCTGGAGCTGATAGTGGAGAGACGACTGCAGCAACGATCAGTCGGTCCGTGCGTGTGCCCTTGAAAGCGCGATATGGTGGTGCCGTTCCGCCAAAAAGGTATGATGTGCTGAATGTGATGCGAGTGTCGGCTCAGGAGCACGCGGGAGAGGGGCAATGAGGGGGACAGAGGGAGCCTTGACAGTACGGAGGGAGAAAAGCATCCAGACCAAGTTCAGAGGCAGTCAGCTCGTTGCGGGGAATGCGCGGGGGGGAATTTGAAGGGCATCAAAGGCTCGGGATGCGAGGGAAGCAAGTAGCAGACTGAAGGTCGGAGCAGCAGATTCCATGCCACAGTTTCCTGCTAGCCGTAGATGTGTGTTGAAATACGAGTCGCGCGTGACAGGGGCTGTGAAATTTGCATTGGCTTTGTGTCTCCGCGGCTCGGCAGAGTGCAATGTGCTTTTCCCGCTTGTGTCGCCACTGCAGCGGCAGTGTCGGAATGGCGCGTGGATGTGCTTCGTGTTGGCAAGCAACGGAGCCATTTGACTTTCCACTGGGCTCAGCGTGTCAGCAGAAATCTGGACTTTGCGCAAAGCTATGACACGGTGTGATTAGTACGATTTGATACTTGAAAGTAACAAGTTCAGAGTACAGCGCTTTTTATCCAGAAAACTTCAACTATAATCTCATCCAGCCTGTTAGATTCTAGCTCTAGCAAATCAGCAAGATGACCTAGCATCTTGGCTTGTACGACTAGTACATTGCACAGCTATCCCCCCATGATGACTAGACCTAGTCAGGAACTTGCCAGGCAAATCATAACAAGCATTTAACCAATCAAAACGTCATATTGGTAATCCATCTACGCCGTTAAGCCCATTATGACAATGATTGCGGCAGCCCTGCAGCGCATCCCACTCACCAAGAGCATATTGCCACACGACCTCGTCATGTCATCGACCACACCGACAATGGTGGTGCTCAAGGGGCAACCTGGCTTAACTAAAATAGCAAGCCGCCGCCCCACACCTTCACCCCACACCTTACTCTCCAGGGTAGATCACCAGACCAAAATCAGCTAATCATCTGTGTGTGTTGCTCTTTAGACCTTACTACCAGGGCCTCCCTACCATCATATAGGCCCCAACCGAAACGAGAAAACGGCTAATAAGAGACTCTCTCAACACTAAGCCCTCCGCAAACAACCACCACCACCACCACCACCACCACAATCCACTAACAAAGCCTCCACTCTTACCACCACCACCACCACCACCACCACCACCACCACCACCACCACCACCACCACCACCACCACCACCACCACCACCACCACCACCACCACCACCACCACCACCACCACCACCACCACCACCACCACCACCACCACCACCACCACCACCACCACCACCACCACCACCACCACCACCACCACCACCACCACCACCACCACCACCACCACCACCACCACCACCACCACCACCACCACCACCACCACCACCACCACCACCACCACCACCACCACCACCACCACCACCACCACCACCACCACCACCACCACCACCACCACCACCACCACCACCACCACCACCACCACCACCAACACCACCACCACCACCACCACCACCACCACCACCACCATCACCATAGTCACTAAATGTTTTTTACCACAACAGTCATGCCATTCTTTCCCGCCTCAACCCTGACCTGCACCTGCCCCTCCCCCTCCCTCCTGCCCTTCCTGCCCATACCCGCCCCCTCCCTCATAACCCCCTTGCCCCTGCTGCCCATACCCCCCACCGTACCCCCCCTGCCCCTGCTGCTGCGCATACGGATCCACTCCCCCCTGCTGCTGCCCCCCCTGCTGATTGTAATAGTCATATCCGCCCCCCTGTTGCTGTCCCCCGTAGTAGCCTCCCCCCTGCTGTGCATACTGCTGCTGCCCATACCCCCCCTCCTGCTGCCCATATCCTTCTCCTCCCGCTGCTGCCCCTCCTCCTGCTGCTGCTCCGCCCCCTTCGCCCCCTCCCCCTTGCTGCCCATACCCCCCACCACCTTGGTTGTTATAATACCCTCCGCCCAGCCCCCCCTGCCCCCCATACCCATACCCGCCATCCGCTCCGCCTTCCGCCCCCCCTGCATTCCCATTCCCCGCCCCTGATTCCCCCCCTGCGCCCTGCACACCCCCCTGTCCCTGCCCATAATAATCGTACCCTCCCCCTCCCCCCTGCCCCATCCCTCCTGCTCCCCCCTGCTGCCCCCAACCTTCCCCCCCGCCTCCATACTCCCCTCCCCCTTGCTGCCCGTACCCTCCATACCCTCCCCCGCCCCCTTGCCCACCATACTGTCCCCCCCCATACTGCCCCCCTCCGCCGTATCCCCCTCCCTGCGGCCATCCCTGCTGCCCCCCTCCCCCTCCCCCTCCCTGCCACTGCTGCTGTTGGCGAAATCCCCCTCCGAATCCGGGCCCTCCGCGGCGGTTCGACTGGAGAGCAGCAAGTGGGACAAGAGGAGGGGATATGGAGGATACACAGGGGAACAGCAGCGGGGGAGAAGGGGGGGGGGGGGAAGTGGAACAAGGGAGGGGAAAAAGGGAGCAGTAATGAGCACCGGGGGAAAGGGGGGCAGAAAGGTGAAGGGGAAGAGGGGAAAGGAGGGGCAAACAGAAGAGGGGGCGCGCACGAAAAGGGAAGCATGCAGGCACAGAGTTAGTGGAGGGAAGCGAGGGGAGGGCGAAAAGGGAAGGGCGGCAAAGGGAGGCCAGCAATGGGAGAGCGGAAAGGTGAGGGCGGCGAGGGAAGGGCAGCGGCAGCAGAAAGCACAGTGAGCTGATCCAGTGACATGCGCGTGTGCACCTCTGTTGCATGTGCGCCGCCGCACTGCGCCCCACTACGCACGCGTGCAAGCAAGCACACATACCTCGTCGAGCACCTCGCGAATGAATGAGCTCCTGTGTTGTGCAACGTCCGTCTGCTGCTGCTGCTTGGTGCGTGTGCGTCGACCCACTGCACCCCAGTACACCCCTTCTACTCCCCACGGCGCCCATCAGCACCCCACTGCGCCCAACTGCGTGCGTGTGAACTGAACATACCTCGTCGAGCACCTCGCGAATGAGCTCCTGTGCCACGTCCGTCTGCTGCTTGGTGCCCATCAGCATCACCGTGCGCTCCATGCTCCCCGGCTGCACCTCCCTGTCGCTCTGAATCTGCACCGCACCATGCCACGCCATGCCATGCCATGCCATGCCATGCCATGCCATGCCACGCCACGACATTCCATGCCATGCAACCGCACATGGGAGCAGAAGCAGAGGAAGACGGCAGAGGTAGGGGCAGAGCAGTTGAGAACGCAAGCGTGGGCGTTAATTCCGGCAAGAGAGAGCGGGTACAGAGCGCATATTTGCGGGCAAACGAGCACAGAGCGAGGCGAGAGGAGCGGGGAGCCAAGAGCGAAGAGGAAGGTGCAAGAGAGGAAAGCACCGCACGAGCAAGAGAGCACAAGAGCACACGAGCACGTGCCTGAATGCGAGCGCCTGAGCGATTCTGGAGGTTCTTGATGGTCTCGCCCCCCCGACCAATGATGAGCCCCACCTGACGGGCGCAAACAGAGTGAGGAGAAGGGGAGATGGGGAAGGAGAAATGGCGGAGGGACGCACGGAGGGGGTGGGGTGGGGAGGAGGGAGGCAAGGAAGAGAGAAGTGGGAAGGGAGGAGAGGAGGGGTTGGTGGGGGGAGGGAGCGATGGGACGGACGGTTTAGCCAGATTAGCAACGAGAGGAAACTAGCACCGCGGGTGCCAACACGCGGATACAAGGCGAGTGGTTGTAAAAGAGGATAATCGAAGTTTTTTCTAGGTCGACTCAAAAGGAAACTCTTGAACCATCAAATCAAAGGGTCCACGAACAGACTAACAGACAAGCAAACGAACAAAATAACAGCAATACGTGCCACTCACCCGGCCGTTGGGGATCTGGATCGACACGGACTCGCTGCTGCCAGCGAATGCCCTGCCGCCGCCCGCTGCCTGGTGCTTGAGGGATGACGGGGACAAGGCGCATACGGCAGAACGGGCGATACAGAGCGGTTCAAAAGGTGCAGATTCGACTCAGGCACGGAGGCTTGATTTTTTTTATTTTTTATTTTATTTTTTTTCGCAGGGGAATAATAAAAAGCCCAGTGTCCTCCCCCGCTCCCCGCCCTCCCCAAGATCCCCGCCTTCCCAACACCCACCCTCCCCCCATGTCCCCACTCCCCCCTTCCCCTTTCCCCTTCCCCTTTCCCCCTCCCCCGGACCATTGCGCACTCACCTCGTCCAGCACCTGGCGGATGAGCACCTCCGCCTGCGCCATCTGCTCCGGGGTCCCCATGAGCTCCACGGAGCGAAACGCGGAGCGCGGGTCCGCGTCCGCGTCGCGCGTGACCTGGATCTTCGCGCCCGACTGCGCCTGCAGGTACTTGATCGTCTCACCCGCCTTGCCGATCACCAACCCCACCTGCGCGCGGAGACGGTGCGCGGCCAAATGGCGCGGGGGGACGGCGCGGGAGAGGCGCGGGGAGAGGCGCGGGGGAAGGCGGGGACGCGCATCGAAGGAGAAATGAGCGGCGAAGGGGTGGACGAAATGGTATAAGGGAGGGAAGAACGGAGGGAGGCAAGGAGAGAAGATGAGGAAGGAGAGAAGAAATGAAATGAGGGGAAGGAGGGAGGACAATGCGGAAATCAAGGGTTGACTCGGAACTGAAGGGGCTGGTGCTTTGTGATTGACGATTGTGCAAAAGTTATGGATGGACGGGGGAAAGCACAGGTGAGGGGAGAGGGAGAGGGGGAGCGGAAACGACGAGGGGCGGAGAAAAGCAGCGGCGAGCTGCTGCCTTATAGCGTGGAGGGGAGATGAGCGGAGAGGGGTGAAGAGGGGCGGAGAGGGGCGGTGAGGGGCGGAGAGGGGAGGAGAGGGGCGGAGAGGGGCGGAAAGGGGCGGAGAGCGAACCTTTGAATTGGGAACGTCAATCTTCCTGCTGCCGCTTTGCTGATCGTAGTAACCTGACTGCTGCTGCTGCTGCTGGAAATACCCTTGTCCCTGTTGCTCGCCTGCATGTGGACACAAGGTCACGTGACGTCACTCTTAGTCTCGCTCTCTTCTTAATCTCCACTTCCCATCGGATCATATTTACACTAACAACAGTACCTTGCTACGTCAACTCTTGCGTCGGAACGAAAAAAAAAAAAACAACAACAACAAAAAGACACGGTTTTAACACCAAAAAAACGAAAGAACGAAAAGAAAACGGTTTTTTGCTGCTTACCGCCCATCCCAGGAGGGCCCTGCCCGCCGCCGTATCCCGAATATCCCCCCGGCGGCCCTCCCCCCTGTCCCCCCATCGCCCCCCCCATCGGTCCCCCCATCTGTCCCCCCATCTGTCCCCCCATAGGTCCCCCCATAGGTCCCCCCATCGGGGGACCCATTCCCGGCGGGCCCCCTCCTCCCGAGCCGCCGCCGCCACCCGGCTCAGAACCCCCTCCTCCCGGGCCTCCTCCCGGCGCTACTTGCACCGCACCCGCCGCTCCCCCCGCAGCAGGCGGCTCATCGAACTTAGACCGCTTCGCGCCGGTGTTTAAGAACTTCGCCGCAAGCTCTTCCGCTTTGCGCTTCGCCTGATCGAACTCGGACGCGGGAGGCGGAACCGAGGAGTACACGCCGCCGGCAGACGGTTCCGTTCCGTCCGCGGCCGGCGCAGAGTCGTCGGTCGGCGCGCGATCCTCAGATTGTCGCTTTCCCGAGCCGTCTGGCTGAGACGCAGGTGCGGAGCCTGGCGCTTCCTCGGCCATGGTAAGTCCCGATCAGATCCAACCCTAAAGAAGCAGTTCGGACGGAGAGAGGTAGGTGGGGAAGTAGTTGAGTTGAGATATGAGCAAAGAAGAGGGGGAAAAGGCGGAGTCAAAACAGGCGGAGTGAGAAAAGGGCGGAAGGCGGGTGTGGTGGCTTGATGGGGGGACAAATGAGCAGGGTGGATTGGCGGAGGGTTAGGAGGGAAAGGTGAGGGTGGGGGGATCGCGGAGAGGGTGGGGCGGTGTGGGTTCAGGCATGAGATTTCTGCATGTGAAGATGTTCAGGGTTTGGTTGATTGTTAGTTGCTTTACAAGTGAACGAAAATGAACGAACGAGTGATGCACTATGGAGGAAACATATTTTTGGTGTTCCTTCAACCTTCACATATCTGGGATGCATGTATCTTGAGGTGGATGTGTACAGTGTATTTGAATAATTTGTCTGAATGAATATGTTTATATGGAGAAACCTATTGAAGCGTTCGGTTCGGCTTGCCTGAGCTTGTCTGGGATTGCCAGTTACAGTACTGTTGGGCAGATTGTCTTGAGGGTGAGCTGTGGTGCAGCTACGGACGTTCGGTTTGGCCAGGTTTGGTCGGTGACCCTCTGGTGACCCAGGCCATCCAGAATGGCTTCAAGAGTTTTGCGATGGGCAACTGTAAGGAATTTTCTCGCTATTCCTCACCGCGACCGTCCACATTGCGTGCAGCAGCAGCTGTTGTTCGTCTGTTAGTGCTAACGGAGCTTCGCCAACTTCGCACGCACTGTTTCACCAACCTCGCACTGCTTGAGCAGCCGAGTCGGCCTACGCTTCGGGACTAGCCCGAACCTCGCACCAGCGTAACACTAGATAGCTCGCATGCACCGCGTTACCGTTTGCACATTTTCACGTATAAGTATTCGCTCATGCCTTCGCTCATATTTTGTATTCATTGAACACTCTAGTGCAATCCTCGCTATCTCGATTCATTGCACCCGTAACACTTGGTTATCAGAGCCACTTTCTTTCAGACCACGCATCTCCGCACCCCAGGAAATCAACTTTTGATTTTTCACTCGAAGGGACTCACGCCCCTAAGCACCTATGAGTCGCTGTCCTCGCGTTCTCTCATAAACGCGTGCAGCCATGACAACGCCTAGACTAAGCTGAGCCGACGCCCTTCGTTATGGCTGAACATATCGACGTCATGACGCTCACGCTGGACCGTTTGAACGAGCTGCTGCGACAACTCCACGAAAGATCCGAAGAAATCGCGGCACTGACGGCCGAACGCACGTCCCTGCAAAATGACGTCCCATGAGCACAGCAAGCACAATCGCAAGCACATGGCACTCCGGGACAACCTGCACCACAGGCATCGCAGCACGGAAGTGTGGGGCAACCCGCGAGCGCGGCTAGTGATGGCGTCGTCCGCCACGACGGAGACGACAACCACACACGACACACCCCGAAGCGACGAATATGTCAGAGGTCCGCTGGTGATCCCCGATTGATCCTAGGGAAGGGTTACATGCATGTTGGCCTGGGGGGTTGTGGGCGCACTAACCCGCTACTTAACAAGCCCTTTTATCCCAGTGGTCTAGTGGTTGGGATTCTGACATGGTATCAGAGCGAAGGTCTCGGGTTCGAATCCCAGTGTGTGCACTTCGGGCATCCCAGTGCGGGGGGGTGTCAGAGGTCCGCTGGTGATTCCCGATTGATCCTAGGGAAGGGTTACAGGCATGTTGGCCTGGGGGGTTGTGGGCGCACTAACCCGCTACTTAACAAGCCCTTTTATCCCAATGGTCTAGTGGTTGGGATTCTGACAGAATACGGCCAGGAGCAAGCCTCGCGTCACGATTTCGGCACCCACCAATGATTCGGCACCGCATTCACCGATGTCGCTAAAGCCACAGCGTCCGCCATGCTTTGACCCGAGTCAACGGGGTGGTCCTACCGTTCAGGCGTGGTTGTGTTAGAGTTATATTTAATATATATCCTATCAAAATAACGAACGAGAATGGATGAACTAGCAAACAGTTGGGTACAAGTACTAACCCTAATTGGGTTGTACCCCTTATGGGCTACCCCACTACAGCCTACACAAATATATAAGCTATAATGTTCTGACACACCCCCATAGGCAAAGTGGGGGAGAACAAATGGTCACAAGACCAGTCAAGAAAACCAAAGCAAGCTCAGGGTGGATCACAAAGTCACCACACAGTCCGAGCACAAGCAAAGGGCCACAAGGCCAGTTCATATGCAGAGGTATATATAAAAGTGAACAAACAATACAGTGATCATACCCTAGCAAGTGCAAGCATGCAGGTACATATATAGATCACAGTAAAAGCAAAGTCACGCAGTAAGCAAGTGAGGCAAAGTAGGCACAAGGCCTAACACAGTAGAGAAACGCCGATGATCACCAGGCGGAAGTGCCTTGGTGAATATATCAGCAGTGTTGGCCCTAGTGGCCACATACGCAAGACGAAGCTGGCCACGCTGCTGCAACTCTCGAGCAAGGAAGTATCGCAGAGTGATGTGCTTCGTTCTGTGCTCCAGTCTGTGCTCCTGACACAAGGCAATCATGGCCTTCTTGTCTACGTACAGAACTGGAGGCGAACGAGGCTACTCTCCCAAGTCAGTCAGCAGGTAGGTGAGCCAGCGTAGCTCCTGTGCAGCCATGGCCCCAGCGTAGATCTCAGCCTCACAACTGGAGCTGAGAATCGAAGACGAGCGGGTAGACCGCCAGGAGACAGAGCCAGAGCCAAGGCTCAAGGTGTAACCCTATGACGACCGCTGCGTAGCTGAGTCGTCAACCCAGGACCCCGTCCTCCAAGCACGAGCCCCATGCCCGACGTACTGCACAAGTAACGCAGTACCCTCTTTGCAGCATCCCAATGCACCTTTCGGTGCCTGCCGGGAGCCACGTAGCGAGCCATGAGGCTGAGAGGGTATGCGAGGTCAGGTCGAGTGCACGTCATCAGGTACATGAGGCAACCCACAAGCTCTGGGTACGGACCACTCGGCTCTGCGGACTCGTCCGAAGGTGGAGTTGAGAGCGAGTGGCTGGTAGACAGAGGAGTGGGCTGTGGCGAGGAGATCTGGAAGCCGAAGCGCTGAAGGACCTGGTGCACCATGTGTGACTGAGTCAGGGTAATGGTGCGCCGAGCTCTGTCCCGGGTGATCTGCAAGCCAAGATAGCTGCGCAGTTCACCCAGGTCAATGCAGGTGTGTCTCTTCTGCAGCTCCGACTTCACAAGAGTCAGTGCCTCAGTGTCAGCAGTGGCAAAGACGAGGTCGTCGACGTAGACAAGGACGCAGAGCGGCGGCAGCGAGGTGTCGGTGCGTAGAAACAGCGACGGGTCAGCAGTAGCAGGAGCAAACCCAAGAGCCGCAAGTGTAGTCCTCAGTGTGTCGTGCCACTCGCGAGGCGCCTGACGGAGACCGTAGACTAGCCGCCGAAGACTCCACTGAGTACCTGCAGGAATAGACTCAGTGAAACCAGGTGGGCGGCACAACCAGATCTCCTCGTGCAGGCTGCCCTGCAGGAAAGTTGTGCTGAAGTCCAGAGAGTGCAACTCGTAGTCACGCTGAGCAGCGACGTGCAGCAACACCCAAAGAGTAGTCATCTTCGAGGTGGGGGAGAAGGTATGGAAGTAGTCAACTCCTTGTCGCTGGCTGAAGCCTCTAGCAACGTAACGCGCCTTGAAGGCAGGCGGAGAACCCGGCGGCCGCTTCACCCTGAAGATCCACATGCCATCGACTATGATCGCCCCAGGTGGGGGAACCTCATCGACGTAGGTGCCTGTGGACTTCCAGGATGCCATCTCGGCATCCATGGCTGCCTGCCATTGAGAGGAGTAAGGACCCGTTATCGCCTCTGCGTAAGAGCGCGGGGTCGGGATGTCTGGAGCATCCGGGTCTCCCTCAGGGGCAAGCAGTATGGAAGCGAAACGAGGTACAGCAGCTGCAAGACACTCAAAGTCCTCCTGCCTGTCCTCAAGGACGTCCGTGCCAAGAGCACACTCACCCCCGACGGACGGAGGACTGGCAGACGCAGACTCAGCAACAAGAGCGAGGCGTAGTCTAGACGACAGGCAAGAGTAAAGTCAAGCAGCTCACCAACGAGAGCAGACGCAGCAGCAGACTCAAAAAAAGGGTCAGTGACAGCAGTGGCGAGGAGACGAGAGACAGTGGGACTGGCAGCACAAGCGCGGTCAGACTCAGGGTAAGGGACAGCAGGAAGAGAGGACTCAGGAGGAGCTGGCAGAGGAAC